AACTTTTGGTTACTAAGGCTTTTTCTCTGTCTGCTCCATTCAGCTAAAAATGAATGCCGGCACCAAGGAAAAGAAGGATGTCAGCACTTCTGCTACCCAGGAAGTAATTCCTACCATTGCTCCTGTGCTGAAGGCTATGAGCTTGGGAAGGACAAAAAACAATGCATCCCATTAGGTAAGTGTGAGCATGGAAGTTAGTGAGGATCCATGCTTGGTGCTTGGACAGAAGCATTACTGACCTCTCAAACTGGGGAGAGAAAAAGGAGGAATCTAAGGACCACCAAAGATGCACAAGCAGCAGTAAAAGAAGCCATACTTGATCTGAACATTTAAACATGAGTGTGCAGAGAGCATTTGCATCACTCTACGTATTACCCAGTTATAAGAGGTTTTCCACTCTTTCTCACACTAATTTAACCTCAGTAAAAGGTAACTGATGACCTTCCTGTTTGGGAATGAGGTTCAGTTGATTTGGATCGGGCATGTGATGGTATGATAAATGAAGGGCAGAACTTGCTGCCATGTTGGTTTGAACAGGTAGCTCTCTTCATTGTTGCATTCAGTCTAAGTACCTCATTCAACCTCATCCCCCCTGTATGCAAGGTCTACTAAAAACAAAGTAGTATGCTTAGTCCCTGTCTATATTAGCAAGTAGGACAGACAAATACGATCTGTGTATGTGGCTTTTGATGAAGATTTAATGTTCACACCAAGTGCTCAACTCAGATGGGTTTTATTTCAGACTATCCCTAGGGCTAAACGTCATTAACTGTAAGAGCACATGGTTACAGGGGCTTACTTCTGATTCAGCTTCACCTGAACAGAATCCAGTTTATGTGAACCAAGATGAGGACACAAGGTGGCAGAAAGTGTGTGCACATTAACTCAGAGATTCACTTGAAATGCAGGTTCCTCCTCTGAACCAGAACACAAAAGTATGCACATCCCCCTTATAGTCTTCCAAAAGGAAGGCCAAGAATTATCCTGCCGAGATTAGGCCACAGCTGTGAGGTGTTTGGTACAGGTCAGATACAGGATATGAGGATGAGGAAGAAACCTGTGATGACAGTTGTCTGGAGTGGAAGCTTTATTCTTTGGAAACTGTGTTCCTAAGTCACGGGCAGTGAAATCTGGCCACCACAAGCCTAACACAATGACCAAATTGTTCATTGTCATTTCTAAGCTATCAGACAACAGAAGTTAAGTTAATTATTCTGATTTTCACCAGTTGAGAAATTCTCCTTTTCCCAAACCCTACATTTTATGAGGAATGAATAACATAACTTGCAGGTAGTTTTTGTCTTGAAATGTTGCAGCATGAGGTTTTTGCTTTTGTTTGTTTGTTTGTTTGCTAGATCAATGTGCATGTGGCAGACTTCAAGACAGTGATAATCTGATACGCGAAACCCCAAAGGAACATGGCAAGCAATTTCCTTGGCAGGTATTTGTAGCAGTTCATGAAATTCATGAAACTCATTACTCAACTTCCTGTGGACAGTGCTATTAATAATCTTCTTTCTGTGTTGTCTTAGGTCCTGTTGCTAAACTCAGAAGGGAAAGGTTTCTGTGGAGGAGTGCTGCTAAAAAGTAACTTTGTACTGACCACAGCAGAGTGCGCCCTTCTGCACAACCATTTTAAAATCAGGGTTGGCACTGGTAGGTGATTAAATATTTTCTTTTGCACTTTTCAGCATGGATAAGCTTCTTTTAAAAACAACTTACTAAAATTTCTGCTGCTTACTGAAATTTCCCAAAAACATTTGCTTTGGGACACAAATGCGCTGCCACCTCATTTAAGCACCTTAGTTAAGTATCAAGTTAGAACTACCACTGTGATACGTCTCTCTACAAGCCAAGAAGAGAGACAAGTACCTCTCAAGGGCAGCTCACAGGGGCTGCCTCAGTACCTGGGATGAGCTAAACCAGGTTCATTTAGAGTTCATTTGCTCTGCACCCCCAAGGAAAGAAACTGTTCATGCCCAAATTCAGTTCTGTTGTTGGGTATTTGTCCTTCCTCTCAATTATGCATGCATCTACACAAGATTGAAAGGCTGCCAAGCTGTCATTCTTAATTCACCTTTAACATATCTGTTTCAAGAAAGAGCATCTTTCTCTAGCGTACATACTCCTCAGCACATCTAGGCAGTTGTTACCAATGCGCATGCAGTTATCAAGTCTCTGGTAATTTAAATAATTTAAGTAATTTTAATAAATGCCAGTCTCTGGTAATTGATTTCAGCAAGTCATTTGATACTGTCTTCTACGACATCCTTATAACAAAGCTGAGGAGGTGTGGGATAGATGAGTGGACAGTGAGGTGGGTTGAGAACTGGCTGACTGGCAGAGCGCAGAGAGTTGTCATTGGTGGTGCAGAGTCCAGTTGGAGATCTGTAACCAGTGGTGTTCTTCAGGGGTTGGTGCTGGGTCCGGTCTTGTTCGATGTCTTCATCAATGACCTTGATGAGGGGATAGTGGCCACCCTCAGCAAGTTTGCTGATGATACAAAGTTGGGAGGATTGGCTGACACGCCTGAAGGCTGTGCTGCCATTCAGTGAGACCTGGACAGGCTGGAGAGCTGGGCAGTAAGAAACCAGATGAGGTTCAGCAAAAGCAAGTGTAGAGTCTTGCATCTAGGGAGGAATAATTGCATGCACTGAATAATCGCATGCACCGGCTGGGGGATGACCTGCTGGAGAGGAGCTCTGCAGAGAGGGACCTGGGTGTCCTGGTGGATGACAGGTTGGCCATGAGCCAGCAGTGTGCCCTTGTGGCCAAGAAGGCCAATGGCATTCTGGGATGCATTAAAAAGAGCATGACCAGTAGGTCAAGGGAGGTGATCCTCCCCTCTACTCTGCCCTGGTAAGGCCTCATCTGGAGTACTGTGTCCAGTTCTGGGCTCCCCAGTACAAAAAAGACAGGGATCTCTTGGAAAGAGTCCAGTGGAGGGCCACAAAGATGGTGAGGCCTGAAGTATCTCTCCTATGAAGAAAGGCTGGGTCTGTTTAGCTTTGAGAAAAGACTGAAAGGGAACTAGATCCAGGTCTATAAATACCTAAGGTGTGGGGGGCAGAGTGGTGAGGCCAGACTCTTTTCAGCAGTGTGTGGAGACAGGACAAGGGGAAATGGCCAGAAACTGCAGCACAGGAAGTTCCACACAAATGTGCGCAAGAACTTCTTTACAGTGAGGTGACGGAGCACTGGAACAGGCTGCCCAGGGAGGTGGTGGAGTCTCCTTCTCTGGAGATGTTCAAGACCTGCCTGGATGCCTCCCTGTGCGACCTGCTGTAGGGAACCTGCTTTGGCAGGGGGGTTGGACTCGATGATCTCTGGAGGTCCCTTCCAACCCCTACAATTCTGTGATTCTGTGATTCCTAAGAGCAGTCAACATGTCATTGCTTCACAGGGTGTAACAGAACAAGCGGAGCCGAGAAGATCATGGAAGTTCATGAGAAACACATTCACATCCGGTATGACGAAGACACTGGTGAGAATGACGTTGCACTGCTGCAACTCCAAGAGCACATTGAGTGCGGTAACCACCAGCTTCCTGTATGCATCCCTGAAAGAGACTTTGCAGAACACATTTTGATTCCAAAATTGGCTGGTACAGTCACTGGTTGGAAAATGGAAGGTGGCGAATTTCAAGGCGACGAGTTGCAGGTTTCGTATCTTCCCACCGAGGATTGTGAACAAATACTCAACGTAAGCCTCACAAACAGGCAGTTTTGTGGACACAGCCAGGAGGCCATAGAGAAACAGCTGGCTGGAGGGAGCTTTATGGCCACTGTGTATAAGGGCACATGGTTCCTGACTGGTATTCTGGGACCTTGGCCACTAGAAGATGCTGACAGGAAAACATTTTTATTTACCAACACAGCTAGGTACATGATATGGTTTAAACAAAAAATGAAGTAAGACGCAAACACAACCAATCCTCCACTACCAAACCCCTACCAATCACTGCAAGGAAACATGCGGAAGCAGCCAGTAGAGCCATCTGATTATCACCATTTGCAGCAGTGGAAGTTACAATGATGATACCTATTTTACTCCAATTCATACAGAAAAGCCCATTTGTCTTTCCTTCCTCTGGTAACACACAGTACTGTAAAAGCCATGATGCAGAAAACCTAGCTGCTTTACTAATAAACAGACTGAACTTTAAGTTTACTAAACTGTTTGCTCTAAAATTCAAAAAGTATTGATGCTTTTCTATCAGTGCCTTTTATGAGGTCTTTTAAATGTTGCTAAAATAAGTCTTTACAATGCTTGTTATCCTCAAGTCTGGTTCAAGAAACCCACGCTCTTATTTCACTCATTTGTACAACTTATAAAGACAAGGGACACTCCAAGCATTTAAATGTGTATGTTGATAAAGGATGATTCTCTCATTACGCTGAAAATTCTTCTTGGTAGCTGTGTTTTGCTATAGGAATTATGTCTACTTCACGTCTACTTCAGTTAGTGAGTAAAATAAAATCAGACTGTCAAAGAGGGGGGGAAAATGTTTTATTTTCTTTTTAAAAACCAACCAACAAACAAACAAAAAAACCCAAACCCCAGAACTATCGCCTCATAACCAACAGGTACACTGTACCCCTCCTCCTTCCTACTTTCAAAAAAATAGAACAGAACAAACACACAATAGAAGGAACACTTAAAATATTGGACCCAGTGGCAATCTCTTCCCCGGAAGCAGAATAAAACAGAATATGGGTAAGTTACTTAGATGCATTCTTTTGTTCATCACAATAAATTTTAAACAAAACATTAAAGGAATTTAAAACAAAACAAAACAAACCTATCCCTGAGTACTTACAGGCAAACATCCCACATGTACTTTAACTTGTATGTATCGATGACATAGAAAAGCTTTTAGTGTCAAGAGCAACTTCTCTGCTTCTTATAGAAGGCTTGAAGAGCATACTCAAGGCCAGCAAAATTATTGAAGAGATTTAGAAAATGGGTATCATAAAAGAAAATATTACTTCCACTCTGAATAATGGATTACCACATGTAATTCATTTATTTTCCAAAGGATAAAAGTAGAAATAGTAACATGAAGTACTTCGTAAAAGCTTTTAAGTACTTTGGAAGATCTTTGGAATGCTTTGCTTTTATTTCCTCAGGAGATACTCTTAATGATCTAGGAAACCTTCAGAAACCACTACTGAAAAGTAGTTGATGCATTTTGTTACACCGACAGCCTTGGTCATTCTGGGAAAGGAGCCACACACAGTTCCTGGTATTCCAGCCTTGGATATGAACCAGGTATTTATAATGTTCTCTGGCTGATGAGGAGCAGCTCCACTGGGCAAGTTGCATATCTGTTCTTGCATGGGTAAGACACAATACTCAACACACCGTTGACAGAGGAGGAAATGGGTTCTGCTTACTGACCACAAGTTTTTGATGCTGATGAGATATATAGCCTTTAATATGACCCTGTCAGGAGAAGAAAACACAGTGTTAGCACTGGAAGCTGGTGATACCTCAGCTGTTGCTAGACTAAATCAAAGTTATGTGTACACAATCAATCACCACTGCACTATTTGTAAGGACCCAATTTATGTAAGTGGGTCACATCAAACAGCAAGCAGAAAGTTGGTACCATATCCATGCTTGTGTACTACTAATGCTGCTCTTGGATTGCCTGCTGCCAGGGACCCCTACTGGTTTGCCTTAAGAGATAAGACCTCTGGAGAAGTTTCTAAATTTACTCTTGCTCATTTTAAAATTGGGATTTTAATTGATCACTATTTTAACTTTAAAAAAAAAATTCTTCCTTTTCAGACATGTAGAAGTCTTCCAGTCACCTCATCCCACCCTTCGCTACTCTAAGCAGGTACCAAATAACCTGTTTCAGAACCAAAGAATCATAGAATGGCTTTGGTTGGAAATGGCCTGAAAGATCACCTAGTTCCAGACCCCTGCTGTGAGCAGGGTTTCCAACCACTAAATCAGGCACTAGACCAGGCTGCTCAGGACCCCATCCAACCCAGACTTGAACACCTCTAGGGATGGGGCTGCCACAGCTTCTCTGGGCAGCCTGCTGCAGCACCCCACCACCCTCTCAGTGAAAAATTTCCCTATGACATATAATCTAAATCTCTCCTAATTTAAAAGCAGTGTCCCTTGTTCTATCACTACCAGACTGTGCAAAACGTTGATTTGCCTCCACTTATTAGCTCCCTTCAAGTACTGGAAAGCTGTTATCAGATCTCTCCTGAGCCTTTTCTTCTCCAGGAGAAGTAGTTCATTTTCTTGCTGGCACTACAATGCTGCTCCAAAACTTCTGATTTATTAGGAAACTACTGACTTCAAGCTTGTACCTTGTTCATAAGTACTGAAGACCCATTTAGAGTAAAAGACAAAACGAGAAACAAGGAAATGTAGTTCTTGTAATGTTGGAATGTCAACAGTCTCCTACTTCAAATGCAGAAAAACAAATCCCTTCCTGGTACTAGATGTAATTTTTGTATTTTGAAACAAATATTTATACGTTATTTAGAAAAGTCAGTACTGAACTTGTAATGCATACTTAACTGCAATTTTAACTGATTCCTGCAAAAGTAGGAAGTAGAGAAATTTCCCACAGCAAATGAAAACATCTGCACTTCAGGCACAAACGCATCAACTTTCGCACACAAGAAAAGATGGGATTACTGATATATTTCTGTAACAAACTTATAATCTCTGCCTAATGCTTTTTACTCAGTCTGGAAGGACTCAAAAACAAGCAGGAAGCACATACCATATATATAAGATTAGCTAAAATGCACTGGACTTCGTCAATGTCAACATCATCTACTTGCATGAATTTCAGAGCAAAAAGAAAGGCATCTAGGGATAACTGATGTGTTTTGAGTAGTAAATATCTGCAAGAAACAACAGAAAATCTGTTATTGAGAAACAATCACTTAGAACTCTGGTTCATAGTAAAACAGACATTCTACTACAGATTCACTTTAACAGGAATTCTGCATTCCTTGAGAGAGTTGAAGAGCATTACACCTCTATTTCAGTCCTAGGTGAAACCACATTAAGTCTGCTTTTAGAAAAATGTAGCTTTTGTTATGCTTACACTTTCTTAAAGAGATTTCTGTATGTGATGATTTTCAGCTTCTCGAGGATAAGAAAGATTCCACACCGAATGAAGAAGGTCTCATGCTTGGTCAGAGCTTCATTCAGTAGGAGAAGATTGCCTTCACTAGAAGGATGGAAGAAATGAACACATGAGAAGGTCTCATCAAGAAAAGGAAGTGTATGACTCGGTAGGAGTATCTTTCCTCTGCCTTCCTCAATCATTCCAAATAAAATTCTTTATAGTTAAAGCTTTTTGAACTACTACACAATGTAATAAAATAATTGCATACCTCACAGCCTTTGTTACTTCAGCAAACTGCATAAGGTCGTACTTTTTTAAGAGCTGAACAGTTGGCATATGGCCCTGAAAAATAAAAGGTTTCCAAGTTTTCCAGGATAAAGTCAAGCTCATTTAAAATGTAATCTATAAAAGCATTTTTCATAGAAACAGACAAGTGTTTGACTACCTTCTTTTCTGGTTTGCTACAGAACAAATGTTAAATGAAAGTATTTGTAAGACATCCTCTTGCCCTGTCAAACTTCCTGCAACTCAACTCACAATAATTATTTATCATGGTTTAGGCAGTCTCTTGATATTTCTGAGTGTTAGGAAACATCAAGATCATGTGACACGAGGCTTAGGCAAGTCCAAATTTCGTGTTGGGGTTTTATGATCTGTTTGTGAGCAGAAGAACTGTGGGAATCCCAGGCATTACTAACAACACAAGCAGTGCTTCAACACTGTCACGTGTTAGCTCAGTCTCCCAGATTATTTCTTCACTGTGCCTCCGTATGGCCATTAAAATGTCAAGAGAAAGAGAAGAAAGTTGAATGAAACAGATTTAATTCTCATCGTTCGATCAGGTAAGACAAAATTAGGCACAGTACCAAACAGAAACTTTCGTTTCTTCCCTTTGCAGGGCAGAGATCAGATTGCATACCAACTTGGTCAGAATTTAAATTTAGTTACCATTACATGGTGCCGTTGCTAATTCCTTTCCTGGCTGGAGGATTAGTCAAGAGCAGAACTCAGCTGCATGTTTACTAAAAGCTGCTAGGAATGAAAAGAAAAAAACCACCAAACGCCCAAAAAAACAAATACCCAAGCTATTTTTGTAGTTCTAAGGTCAGTGTTAACGTTTGGATTGTGATTTAAAAAAGCAACTGTAAAAACAATGACCTTTATATAGATTCTTTAGTGCCTCTTGAACTGTTCAGAAAAGCTACCATAATCTCATGCACTAAAGGGTCCACAAGTTTAAGGAAGGCTTAAGGTCTGTTAGTTTCCTTTAATCAACTCTACCACTGTCTGATCTGAAAATAACCACTAAGAAAGACAATGAACAAAATTGAAAAACAGAAGCCAATTATCATACCCACCATGTTCCCCCCTTACATGTGATTTCTTTTTTGCTTTTTGATACCGCAAGGGACTGAAAAGGGAGCACAGGGAGTAAGTGAGAATGGTCAGGATTCATTTTGCTGGGGTAAACGTGGAAGATGGGAACTCTCAGAACTGGATGATAAAAACATTCTCTGTGAGAAATTTGGTAAAAGGGAGTGGCAAACACTCTAAAATCTAGTCCTTGGCCCCTCAGTTACACTGAATTAATAGCTTGTACAACCCCACTCAAGGAAGACAAATGCCAGCACAGAACACAGAAAGGACAGGAACAAGAAGCAGACATAATTCCTTCAGCAACAAGATGAAGAGAACAAATGGAAACCAGCTGACATGCCTTAAACTGATAAATAATGCGCAAGGAGCGATTATAAAAACAAAGACCACTTTCCTGTGGTAAACCCACCATAGCAGTCTCCAACCATTTATTTGCACATGCTCCTTCCCTTTGCCAGGTGAAAGCAGCACAGATTTGTACCAGTGAATCCAGACATACCCTGGATGCCAGTGCACAGTTGTCACCATGAAGGCACTCTGGTACATGCCAAGTTAACTTTGAGCTCTCTAGAGAAGTGCTTATTTTTCTTATAGCAGTAACCTCAAGTTCCACCTTTCAGAGGGGCAGAATAAGGCAGGGGGGACAAAAAGCATCTTTACTTCCTTCTTTCCTACTTTGCTGTAAATTACAATTCAACATTTTCTGTCCTTATTTGTACAACATCTGCATGTTCTGGTGCATACGGAGGTCAGGCACAAATAACCTCTGCATGCCAATAAGGGAAAAGAAAGAAAATTAAGAACCATGCTGAGTTCCAGTTTGCTTATTTGCCTCCTGAAAAACAATTTGCAGGAATAACATCTACTCACCAACAACATTTTTACTGGCAGCAGGTAGATCAAAATCATTCTTTTGTTTTTCTGGCTTGAACGGTGACAGTGCTCAAAAGCAAATGACAGATACTCTTCAGCTGCAGACACAAATAAAAGCAATGACAGTAAATAGTCAAGAACTAAGACTGATCAAAACCATAACCCAATTCTGTGCTCAATGTCCATTTCTAGCTTGAACCTATGATATTTGAAATTATACCCAAAAAAAACCCACACCAATCAAAATACATTAAGAAACACATTGTAAGAATTATTGGTGAATCACACAAAAGACAAAGTATTACAAGAAAAATAAGTTCTCCTTCAGAAAATAAAAGCTGTCAATAGCCAGATGTCAGATGTAAGAGTTACAAACAGTACTGAAATGCTCAGCTCAGTTAACAATTTTCTTCTTTCTTCTTTTTTTTATTTACTACCGAAAAGTAGAATTTCACAAAGCACTGATGAAGCAGAACAGGTATTTTCTAAATGCACAAATTAGGTTCTTCCGGGGATGTAAGCTGCACGTGGTGCACACACCTGCTCAGCTGCAGAAATATGTCAGTGATACCACACAGCATTATAGTATGAAAACTTTTCCATCATTCTTCTCTTAGAAAAAAAAAAATGACAGGCCTGACGGTCAGAAGATGCTTCTTAGGAGTCACAAAACTGGCTAATAGTACTTTCTCCCTTTGAAGTAATGGGCTATTTGGACAGAGACTCACATTTGTAATTAAAGGTTTATGTCTCAGCTCTAAAAGCATTTGTGAATGACAAATCTCAGAAATATGGTCTCCAAAAATCAATGCATTGAGAATGCATTCCACAGCACAGTTTGCTGAAGATATCCTACACAGCACAAAGTAACTTCAAGAGGACAAGACAACTGCAAAGCTTCCTTGGAGAAACCTTTTACAAACCTATTCCGTTGGATGCTAGTACAGGGAATAACTGTTCTATGCACACAATGCATTAGAGTACAGGGAACTTCACAGAAACAAGTATTTTAAAGCTGGCATATGCTAGAAATAGAAGTGTCATGTAACCTCATCTCCAATCAGACTCAGCCTGCGGATCTTTCAGCATGACTATCCTTTGCTCATCACGAATACAACTGAATCTTCTGCACACATTTGGAACTGCACACACACATGCCACAGTTCACACCAAGCAGCAAGAGTTTAAATGTGTCCTACTGGCACACAGTACCTTGCTTAAAGTCGCTGTCAAACATGGCTTTGCGTCCAACGTAGTATCGGTATGTAACTCGCTGTGCCATGCTATACTCATCCTTCAGGTTTGAACTGTCAATTGCTCTAATTAAGGGTTTACATAGATGGAGCTTATTGATCTGTTAAATAAAATTAACCACATTGAATGCAGATAGGCAACATCATGTTAAAAAGAGTGAGTTTGACTTAGAGTATGAAATACAAAGCAGCTTACCACACTTAAGCCCTACCTTAAAATAAATTTTGAACAGCTGATTCACGAGAAACAACATGCCCCACTTTTTGGAATCTTCAATGCCTGCTCGACTGTCATAAGAATAGAAAAAAAAAAACCAAACTGTTAGTACTGAACACCGTAGTAAAATAATTACTTCCTTTTTTGTGTGTAGTAAATTCCATCCCTAGATAAATATTTCATGGATGGTTTTTAGGATAGAAATCTGAAAATAAAAGCCAACTCCTTGCCTTAAAACTTGACAGCACTCTCTAAATGGAATGTCTCAAATCTTAAATTTTAAATAGCACTGCTGCTTTTCTTCTCATTGCAATGAGAGATATCACGCAGAGTATTATTCACTTGCAGCAGGGTCCTCACTATAGTCTGCATACACCAGCATAGCAGTTGCTGGTAATATTCAAGGTGAAAGAAAGATTGATGGGGAATAAAAGCATTTTATCCACCTGGGAAGCCTTAAAATCACCAAGACAGTAAACCAAAGAGTCACCCATCCCCAGTCTAACCACACTGAAGTAAACTTCATAGCTTAAAAAGTGTACAGAAGGGTTAATAATATTCCCTGACAGGATCAGTCCCACCCAATATCACCTTTTAGGAAGGTTAAACCTTAAACTCCAGCTGCAGTTGATAGTCAAGGCAGACTATACATGAGAGGAAATAAGCCTCAGAAGTGTTTGTTCCTATCCAGATACAGTCTTACTAAGCAGACAAAACTTTTATATAAGCTCTTAAGAACATAATTGTGCAAGTTTTACAGAGCATCTTCCACTTACGTGTCACTGGCACAGACTCGAAAACAGCTCATCAGCAGTTCTGCTGCTTTTTCTAGCATGTCGCCAACTTTGCTTTTCCCCCTCTTTACCAGCTGTTGATCTGCCTATAATTACATAGCAAGAAACAGCACAAAATTCTATGTTCTAATACACTGGGTTTGTAAACAATTTAGTTCCCTAATACCACATTTTAACAATACATTTGACATGCCTACTATTGCCTAAATCATGAGAGTAGTCATGCTGACAGGACTGAAAACAAAACAGAACAAAACACTTGGAGAAGTTCCTGAACACCCTGTACCAAACTTAATGCACAGCAGGGCCAGTCAGAACATTGAAAATAGCACTGGCCTTCAGCAACACTAAGATTAATGCAGCTCTCAGAAGCCTAAATTCAGGATCACCTTATAGCCAAGTTAGAGGATTAACACTCCCAGTCAAGTTTCCAAAGAACAAGACCTGAGCTAAAATAATGTCTTTGAACAAACAAAAGTTAATTCCTCAGTTACGGAAACTGAGTTTTAGAATTCATAATTAAGCTTCTCTCAACAGCTCCAAGGACTAGATTTTAGTTCTAAAACATACCCAACATTTTCTGCTAGAAGTACACACTGCTATAGCCCCACATTTTCAAAAGAAAGGAACATGTACACTACAGAGCAAGTGAAAATTACTTTATATAAAGTGGGAAAGAACCATGCACTAGTTAATGCAGAAATAAAACAACAAAGAAGAAGTGGAAAAAACCCAGTGAGTAGGTATTTGCTATGTTCCTCCTAAAAAGTTTTACTCTAATGCGTGCTTTCTCACTAGCTGCAATGTAAGGACAAGAAATAGGAATGTAACTGCTGCTGTAAAAGTCTTCCCTGTACCCACATCTTTCAAACACATGGGCATCAGAAGACAGCATTCTAAGACTTCTAGTATAACCGACCCCATCTTTTTCCTTTCTTGTGCATCTCAAACCAACAAACTTGCCTTGTTCAGATTGAGAATTGAGGCTTGCTATAGACCAGACACACAAACACACGCAAAGCCTTCTCTGTGCAAGCATGAAAAGCATGCTGTTTTGTGACTTCCTAGGCACAAGAAGCATCAAGTGGACAACCACTGGAAATACTGCATATTGACAAACTCTCCTGTAGCTTGAACTCCTAATTTCATTGCTTCAGGTCAAGTGACCAGAAGCAAAGTCATCTGCCCATCTCAGCTGCGCAATCTTGGGTCAAGAATTTCTCCACAGATGCTAGCTACTCCAATTCACTAACCTGAGGAAAAATAATATAAGCTTGGTTTTTTTTTGGCTTTGGGGCTGTTTTTCTTTTGCTTGACAGGAGCTGTAGACTCAGCAAGGGCTCCAATGAGCATCAAAAGCAACATACACAGATGGAAGAGGGAAACAAGGCAGAAACTTCACACGTTCAGATACGGTGTGTAGTTAGACAAGCTTAGTTGTCTTGTGTATCCCTATCCCTTCAAAGACTCAGCTTGCAAGAATAACACATGGAAATAAGGAGCTGTGCCATCATACTCTTCTATGACCGTACTCAATTGCTTTATAGGTTTAAACTGTGAGTTGCACGCAGATGCCCAGAAACTCTGTCATTCAAGTGGTAGAGTGAGCAAACTAATTCTACGATAGGACAGGACAAATTTAGTGCACTAACAAAATCTTAACAAATTGAACACTAATGAGCAAAATTAGGCTTTGTAATCAAGTCTCAAACATTTCCAACCTAGAAAATCCCAACAGGTTAAAGTATTAAGGTTGTTTTACTTACGTTATTAGCAAAAATTCGAAGATCAAGGGCTACAGCATACATAATAGGTAAAGCCCTGGAAAAGTTAGACAAAGTGTAAGTGCTATGTACAAATCATGCAATAAGACTCTTTTTTCTTCCTAGCTGGTCATAAAACTGTAAAAATATATAGGAACTTTTACTTAAAAGATGAATCTTTTTAAAAGGAGAAGCCTTCAAGAACTCAGTGTCTTTGAAGTCCTATACCAAAGCAATTAATTCAGACAACTTCTTTACTTCAGCTTTAAAGGCTTTAAAAAAATAAAGCAACAGAAATGTTACCTCACCTTCAACAAATCCTTAATATATTTGTTCACAGACATTGCATATAATTAAACATAGATGTACATATAGTTTTCACAGTTTTGGATGTAAAAACTCAAACGGGCAGCAAAAACTATTAGGTGGCATTTAAGTATTGCTGGAGATAAAAATTTATAGCAAACTGAAATTATGGCTACAATATTATATACTGATGAAAGATGGGAGTCTAGTTTTTAAGTTAGACTATGATATACTCACCAATTTTCTTCTTTATGTGCCTGAAATGCTCGCAGGAAAGATGTATTGCGTTTAGGAGAATTTAAAATGCTATGAAACATAGCACAGACTTTAAAAAACAGAGATGCTATGTGGTACAATGTGTTACATGAAAGAGCAGAAACCAACAAAGCAGGAAGGAAACAAGGAGAGAAGATACAAAGACCCAGAAGGGAAGAACATAAGCACAGCCACACACTTTTGGTACTGTGGCAGCAACGAGAAACACTGTTTCTCTTAGAGAAACTTAGAGATGAACCTTCAGCTTTCTTTAGAATTATCTTTCCCTTCATCCAAGTAGAAACTGGGATGTATATTAATGATTCAGGTACGCCTGCTCTCTGTGAGAAATTACTTTTTGGTTTTGAGGCAGGAGACTGGTTCCTTCTTAGTCCTACAGAAAGCCAAAAAAAGCATACTTAGATTTCCTTAAGAATCTAAATAGCTGAAGTGTAACTGGAACTAGACCTCAGCACATTAGGTTTGAAAAGGGATGAAGACAAGAAAACCTAGTCAATCTGAAAGCAATACACAACATATATGGAAAAGGATATTGGACAATAACGGTTTGGCATTTGTACGCCTCTATAAAGTCATGGTTTCCAACAGCGTAAGTACATCTGTCAAAGAAAAGGTGCATTAGTGCAGCCAAAAATATCATACATGTAAGACACATATTTCTTCTTCTGCCTTTTAACAGGTACAGACGTTATAGTTCAAGGAGATGCAGTAAATACCAAATAGGAAGCACTGAAACCAAAGCTCTGTCAATTGCCCTATACAGATGTCTTACAGGTACACAAAAAAATACTTTATGTGGAGAAAAAAGAGAAGGCCTTTATTTCCTATAGTCCTAGTGCTACTTATAAGAGTAACTAAGCAATTTTCCAGATATAACCATTTCAAAATAGCTAAGTAGACTTAGGGATATGCTTCCTTGTCCCTGCTGGACATCTTCTAACTGACTTGCCTATTCCTAAGTCCATTTTTACCTTAAGTGGGCTGCAAACATTTCATCATATGGTGGTTCCAAAACTTGTTGACACTTTTCCTCTGGAGATGGAAGCTAAGAATAGAATAAATCAATTGAAGAAACATCCACTATACCAAAAATATCAGACAGGTATTTTATCATGGCAGTCTTATGCATACATGCCTTTGCTATCTATCAGAATAGATAGATAATATTAATATATCAAACTTAGTGTAAGAAAATGCTATGCATTCTGTGTACACAGTTAGATCATAGCTAGCCTTACATAAAAGCACCTGCAATGCATACAGCACAAACACCGGACCATTACTAGCCAAAGTTTTGCTCTCCATATTCACTCCCATTGTGCCACATTACTAATATAAACCTGGCCATTGGGGACCTTCAGGACTATTCAGAAAACATGGAAACCATAAAGCCACCCAAGAAAAAACTGCAAATATATAATATTCTTATAAAAAGAAAGGGGAATCAAATCCAGAAGAGGACCCTGCATATTCCTGAATCTTATCCTCAGAAGACAGGAAAGCACATGCAGAGCTAGGAAAAATGAACGCTGAACAAAACATCAAAGAAGGATTCTTCCAGAGTAAAAAGTTCTTACCTGAAGCCTTGGGTTTGCCACATGTGGATGTTTAAATGATACCAATTCTGCACAAAACTGTCCATCTCTGCTGTCAATAGCTTCTTGCACCTACCCCACAAAACAGGCACATTATACAATTAAATCCAGGTACAGTCGTAGAGCATATTTACAGCATTCATCCATGTCAGAATCTTTTCAAGTTTGAGTCTGAAAGGTTTAAAACTAAATGAATCAGCATTGTATTTTCAATACATCTGTTTTTCAAAAATGGAGAGGATGAAAAGAATGCTACTGCGGTTTTTCCTTGTTTGTAGGATACAAGCAAACCAGAGGACCTCAAAACAGCTTATATGGATTTATTACCATAAAACAGCTGTGAAAGATTCCTGGAAGCATTTTAAAATCCCAGTTGCCCAGTTGGACGTAACGGGTAGCAAATATAAGATGTGAAGGTACAAGCAGTCTCTGAGTACGACTGAGAATGACTGTGATGCTACAGATGGAATTAGAAAGTTATGAATCACGACTCATAAATGCATTTCATTTGAACTTAATATTTAACACAAAAAAGTTAAGTGGAAGTGGAAGTGCTTAAGCAGGTGTTGGGTTTTGGTTTAGTTTTTCCTGGTTTAATTGACTTCACTGATTATTACTGAAGTGAGCAGGGTGATAACAATGATGGAAATGGGATGGTTCAGAAAGAAGCAGCAAGAGCATCACGCTAAAAGCGCGGTGTTGAAGGTTCAGCATTGCTGATATCCATGTGACCCTGCTCCTATCTCTCCATCCTATCTGCCATAAACCATGGGCATCCAACCTTTTGTCTTGCCTGGACCACACCGAGTAAAAAGGAATCATCTTGGGCCTCATATATATAGGTTGCAAAAGCCTCCTAATTATTTCTAAGGAAACGACAACAGATACACTGAGATCATATAGCAGTGTTTTATACAGCAAATTCTCAGCTACAAAACACTATTTTTCAACATAGTCACCACAATTAGCCATGCATTTTTGCCAGTGATGAACAAGACCCCCTCGTTTTGCTCTTGTAAAAATTTGCACCAGTGGAAGTGACCCACTGTTGCTGTTGCCACTACTGAAATGCACCACCCACTGCCTCACTGTGCTCACATCCACTGTTTGGTCTCCATAAACATTCAGTAAGTGTCGAAGAATCCCAATGGGTGCCATTTTTTTCCACACAGAGGAATTCAGTGACACATCTTTGCTTCATAGGCACTTCCATATCAGACACCAGTGTCATCTGCTGCCATCTGTCACATGGCAACAACACGTAACAGAATATCAGTGGGAAGATTCAGCCTCTACTGTCATACCACCAACATCTGCCTCTGATGTTGTGGTTCAACATCATAACACAGGAGACATTACTTCTGGAGCATTAATTATATAATACAGTTAATGTACATAAAGTAACAAAACATTTTAATTTTTAATACCTTTTATTACACATCAAAGGAGAGCAGCAAAACCATAAAACTAGTGGGACACATAGGACATATCTACCTCTGCTAAGAGAGGACTTATAAAAGTCCAGTAGAGCCATGATCAGATTTCTGAGTTGAATATATGATTGCACATCTATACATTCCACTTGAAAACCTGCAGATAAAGCATTTACCTTGTCTGAATATAGTCACAAACATACCAAAATATTAATATTTTTTTTTCAATGTTGAAAACCATTCTCAAATTTATTTTTCTCAAAACTTTATCACCACAAAAAGCACGGCTGTATGTTTTTTTGCTTTTCACAGTACTGTGTTTAGCCAGCATCTCAAAATCCAAAAGCTTTTTTGCCATAACTTGAGTTAGCACTGCATGCGCCTTCTCTGTGCCCTGGTTTGAGATCAGATGGGGTTAACAGTGCATGGGGCCAGGCTGCTCACTGGGCCAGTGCTGCTGCCACAATCCGACTTACTGTACACTATACACTTCTACCAGCAAGGATCACACTTGACAGAAATTCTTTGAACGCACCGTTTCACACAGCAGCCATACTTACCACGTTTCACGTTCAAAATTGATTGCTTTTTTTTTTTTTTAATCTCCTGCAATGAAAAATAAATCCGCATATTCGAACTGTTCATAGATACATAAATAAAATCTTACTTACTTGTTGCAAATACTGATTTATGGTGATGTGTGCCATTGGGATAGAAGGGGCAAGAGTCCTAAATAAATCGCCTTCTGCAAAAGAACCGGAATCTTAGAGAAAGGAAGGCGCTGGCACCCCAGTGACACCTCCTCCTCCTCGCGCTCAGGTAGGACGGGACGGGGATGCCCCCGTTCTCGCCGCGCTTCTACTCGAACTTCTCCCACAACCCCCAAACCCGACACAGACCAACCTCCCAGCCATGGCGCGGCGCAGAGCGGCACTTCCGGTAGTCACGGAGATACTTCCGGCAGTCCCCGAGGTACTTCCGGCGCTAGCACAGGCCAGAGCATCCCACGTGACACAGCAGCGACGACACCGCCTCTCGTCTTCCCCGCCCCCAGTGCCGTTTGGGAGGCGTGGCCTTTCGCAGCAGCCAATGGCAAATAGCAGTAGGCGGGGCCAGACCGCGCGCTAGGCATAAACCACGTGCATCGGGCGTATGCACCTCAGTGGGTGGGGTGGCGGGAGGGGTTTGCGGTGTTAGTTGCGCAGCTCGGTGTCACTCGGTATCACCTGTGCGCCTCGGGGCTGATTGTTGTGTTCTCGGAGCCGCAGTGCTCGCGTTGCGAGGAGATGACAGCCGCGCTCCTTAGCAATCTGTTGTCCAAAAAGCTGAATAAATAAGTTCGCCACGCCGTTGTTTGTAAGAGGCTCGCACCGAGGCTCTGCCGGAGCTTCTCCGCTCCGCAGCTGTCCGCCCCGGGAGCCATCTTGTGAACGGGGCCGCCAGGGAGCCGGTGGGAAGCTCTCGGAGAGGGCTGAGCTGCTGCCCGTAGGCAGGGCCGGAGCGGGGGGGAGGGAGGGAAGGAGGGCGGGCGGTGGAGGAGGAGGAGGAGGAGGAGGAGGAGGAAGAGAGCGGAGGCGGGGACCGGGCGGCCCAGCCCAGCGCAGCGCCTTGCCCCGGCCGGACACGGCGCCCGGGGCAGAGATGGCGGACGAAGCCCAGAAGAAGCCGCACTTGTCGGCCCTGGTGGGGCACACTAACGGGCTCACCAAGCCCGCCTCGCTGGCCGCCGCCACGCGCGGTGGGGGCGGCGGGGGCGGCGCGGCCGCCGCCTCTAAGAAACTCATCATCAAGAACTTCAGAGGTGGGTGCGGGGCCGAGCGGCGGCAGGTGCCGGGCCCGGCCTCTCGCACCTTTGTTTACTGCGGGGGCCGCTCCGCCTTATCTGCGACGCGGGGAGCCCGCCGCCGCTCCTGTAACCGCATCCCGGGGCCTCGCGTGGGGCCGCGGGGTTGGGGTGGCCCCGCTGCAGGAAGGAGGAGGCCCCGGGCCTGGCCGCGTTCTGGCGCTGCCCTGTCGCGTGGGGTCGCGACCCGCCCCGCGGCTGTGCCGGCGAGCGCCCCTGGGCCGAGCGGAGGAAGATGGCTGCGGGGAGCCGTGCCCCTCGGGCCGCCCTCAGCCGCCTCCGTGTTCCCCCGCAGAAAGGCCCAAGCTGCCCGATAACTACACGCAGGACACCTGGCTCAAACTTCACGAGGCGGTGGCAGCCATTCAGAGCAGTACTTCTATTAAATACAACCTCGAGGAGCTCTACCAGGTAAGACCCACAGGGTGTTGTTTTTGCTGTAACGAGGAGGACGGAGTGCTTTGAGACTCGCAGGGCTTCGGATCAAGCAGGATGTATTTTGATTTGTTAAAGGTCGGTTACGCCTCCGGAACACTCTTGTCAGTGCTTTGTTTCTAGACAGCTCACAGTGTCATGCCTCAGCTTCACAGCTCTGCTGCTCCGTGAGGTCTGGGACCATGAAAAAGCAATTTATGTCAGGAGGTGCTGAGAGCTGCACCTGGGCATCCAGCCACCCCAATGTTCTGCCCGTTCCAGATCCTGAAAATAATGGGGTCTTGCTCTCTCTGGGCTTTGCACATCCATGTTTTACAATGGCTTTTTTGGTACGTGCTTTGGCTTTTGTGAGTAGCCAGCTTTAAAAGTATTTGTTATAATACTCAGACTTTAGTGCCAGTACTCTTTGGAGAAGGAAGGAAAGAATCACGCTGCTTGTGTTGTTACAAAATGTTACTGATGCAGTAAGTTGTGTCGTGCAGCTGAAATTAACTGCGAGCATTCTTCGGGTGTTTCTCTGCAGATGTGGATCTCGTTGCCACATCAATATTGAAGATGTTAATATCCTCACCCCAAATTTTCTAAATATTCAACTGCGGTAGTTTTGATGACATCCGTAAAATAGAGACTGTGAGGGAGGAGAAAGGCAGCAGTCCATATTGAGTCTATGCAGGGAACAATCAGGGTGAGTCTGAGGGCTGACCTGACTTCTCTATGTCATTAGTTGGAGTGTAATGTGTGGCATCAAAATGGCTCATTGTGTGAAGGCATATTGTCCTAATATAGTTTACTGTCTTCAAGCTGGACTGATAAATACATCTGCTAATACTTACAGGTTTGCAGAATCTGAATTACATAATACATTTGATGGTTTTAAACTGAGTGTTTGAGAAATCCTGCATTTTCATGCCCAGCTAGAAAAAACACAGATGCTTTGTATGTTACCTAACTTGTTTTCAGAGGCTCAGTTACGAGATTATAGTAATATGGGAATGAAATTGCCAGGGCACGGACTTAAGCTTTGGCAGTAGAGGAGGAGGGAGATCTCAGATAAGCTGTGAAGAGAGAACTGTACTTTTTGCTTGTTCTGTTGGCCTGTTCGTAAAAATGTGTGTGTTACAAGGACAGCCTAGTAGTCTGGAAGTCATTGATGTAAATCAGCAAGATTCCTGTATGGTGGGTGGTGGCTGTGAGCATGCCCATGCATACGTACTTGTTCCTTCTGCCAGAGGAATAAGAGGAAGTTCGCATCTTTTAGCAGCCTGACCTGTACGTACAGATTGCTGTAACTCTCGGTTGGTGAGCATGGAGCTATCCGTGGGGAAAATGTCTGCGTGTGTACTGCTTCTCACTGGCAGGGCTCCTTTTTGTGCATCTCTATCTGGCATCGTGAGAGGAGGAGAGAGAGCCTGCTGGGGCTCAGTGTGGCAGGCAGCGGTACCCCAGCCTGCCTTTGAACTTTTTGATTGATTTATTTAATTTGGCACGGTGGCGGAGTTAAAAACAAGGAATGATCGCAAGGCCTGGTGGGAAACCCAAAGCATAGTCTTTCCCAAGCAGCAGTTGCAGCATGGGTTAAAGCACAAAGGTGCTTGGCAGAGGCAGTGAGCAATGGGAGGGTGGCAGCCAATTTTTGCTACTAAAATAGAAGTGATGTCTGGGATTGGTGGTAGATTGCCTGGATCTGGGTGGAAGTGGCTGATATTTGATGGGATACAGAAAGTGGGGCAGTGTGAAGAACTGCCAAGTGAGGAGTGTGTGATAAAAATAATGGAAAAAGAAAATTCCCTTTGCAGCAAGATCCTAAATGAGTTGAAATGGGGCAGCAGCTGCCCTTCTTGAGGGCACAGAATAGAACGTTGTTGCAGTGAAAGGAAAAAAAAAAAGGTTTGAATCTTGACTAGACTTTTGTGTGGGTGGATAGGAAAGGCTGTGTCTTAGAAAGCATAACCAAATATCTGACAAACAGTTGTGTGATTACTGTTTGTTGCAGAGGTTACCTCACGTAACCTGTTCTAAGACTGAAATTAAAAAACAGCATAAACAAAAAAAGTAGTCACGTAATGCCTATTTGTTTCCATCTTGTATGTTTTGGAAGATAAGCTCCTCAGGATATTGGAACTGACAGAGGAAATAGTACAAGCAACAGTAAGTAGCTTGCTGAAACAGAGGACTCTGCTCAAAGCAAGTCATTAAAATGGTTATTTGAAACTTGTACGTGGCTTGTGTAGGTGAAGAGCCTACAGTGCTATCTTTCTCATGTCATAATAGATGTGATAATTATTATTACAGCTTTTTCCCCAGACTCATTGTGTGCAAGATAAATAAAGATCAAATCAGATTTTTTCAGAGGCAGCAAAAAATCTGAACAAAGCAAAACATGCAGAAGGAAATTACTGGTTTTCCCCTCTGCCTTAGTCAAAAAAGGAAAGCAGAAAGAGCTTCCTGAAGGCATTGCTGTAGTGATAAGGCTGTGGTTTGAAGCATACTTCAAGCCAGTGCCACTGTCCAAAGGGCCACTTTCTCCTTCACCTTTCTGTTTATCTGTTCATATGCTAACACAGTTCTTTTTGTAATCTTAAAGTAAAACAGAATGGAGAACATGTGCTGGTACTGAGGTAAAGAGTTACGTGCTGGCATTAAGCGTTACTTGTCACATCTCAAACAAAATGCACAGATAAAGGTAAACTTTGAGAAAAAACAAAGACCGAGTCCTGGGAAAACTCCAAGACTTTGTCCAAGTTCACTGATGCTGTCAGCAAATTCATCAGCAAAATATGTCACTGTCAGTCTTTGGGAGCAAAGGAAAAGATTCTTGGGTCACTTGCAGTTGTCTGAGTGAAGCAGTGCTCTTAGATATGATACAGGAGTGTCTCACAAAAGAAAGGAAACTGAGGTGAGGTTAAAGAAAGAGATGAGCCGACTTTCTCATCGCATCTAACTGCTTTGGATAGCATTCTGTGAAGCACTGAATGGCCAAAAATACTGCTGTAAACTCCACAGTCCTCGCAGAATGTTTGGCTGTCTTCATTGTGATTCATTTTAGGTGCTGTGGTCTATTAATAAAATAGTTTATTGAAATATGGGACACAAGTTAAAATAAAGCCCGCCTGGAACAAAATCTAAATATAGGCAGTGGTATCGAATGAGGTTACGTTTTCTCTTTGGCATTCCCCTGAGTTTCTTGTGAGGAAAAAAATGTCAATTACACAGGGACAAAAGTGAGAGTTTGCTTAATTTATTTTTTTTTTTTCAATCTCATCTCTTAACTTTTTTGGTTTTAGGCTGTTGAAAACCTCTGTTCCTACAAAGTCTCTGCTACACTGTACAAACAACTGCGGCAAGTCTGTGAAGATCACGTGAAAGCACAAATCCTTCAATTCAGGGAATATCCTTTTCCTGTGCAAAGAAATTGTTAGATTTGCGCTTAAATCATTATTTTTAAGTAAGTGGGGTTTTTGTTTGTTTGTTTTTAATAATGGTGGTGTTTGCAAACGTGCAAAGAGGTGCTTTGTTAACCACTGACACACTTTCAGATGGACCATGAGCAACTGGAGTTGTCCAAGGGAATAATTTTAGTATTTAGAGGCATGGTGGTAATGAAGCATTAAAACAAGTATTTGTTTTGTTACGAGTGCAAGTGCTACACCTAATCTAGAAAACTTCAGGAGCACTATGAGTCTAAAATCCTCACATATCTAACAGCA